CCAACTAGTCCACAGGACCAACAGTCAAGCTGGTCCAACCGATCCATTGGACCAACATGTTAGTTGGTCCAACCGGTCCATTGGACCAACATGTGAGTTGGTCCAACCGGTCCATTGGACCAGCAGGCCAGTTGGTCCAACCTGTCCACTCGACCAACAAGCTTGTTGGTCCGACCGGTCCACTAGACCAACAGGTGACTTGGTCAAACCAGATCATTGGACTAACAGGAGATTTGGTCAAACCAGTCTATTAGACCAACAGGCTTGTTGGTCCAACCGATCCACAAGACCAACAGGTCTACAGAACAAACACGCCGATCAGTCCTACCCGTCAATAGGACCAACATGCTTGTTGGTCCAACCGGTCCACAGGACCAACATTCTTGTTGATCCAACTAGTTCACTGGACCAACAGTCCATTTGGTCTAACCGGTCCATTTGACCAATAGTTGAGTTGGTCCAACAGGTCCACATGACCAACAGTCAAGCTGGTCCAACCGGTCCATTGGACCAACATGTGAGTTGGTCCAACCGGTCCATTGGACCAGCAAGCCAGTTGGTCCAACCAGTCCACTCGACCAACAAGCTTGTTGGTCCGACCGGTCCACTAGACCAACAGGTGACTTGGTCAAACCAGTTCATTGGACTAATAGGAGAGTTGGTCAAACCAGTCTATTAGACCAACAGGCTTGTTGGTCCAACCGATCCACAGGACCAACAGGTGAGTTCGTCCAACAGGTCTACAGAACAAACAGGCCGATCAGTCCTACCTGTCAATAGGACCAACAGGCTTGTTGGTCCAACCGGTCGACAGGACCAATAGTCTTGTTGGTCCAACTAGTTCACTGGACCAACAGGCCATTCGGTCTAGCCGGTCCATTTGACCAGTAGTTGAGTTGGTCCAACCGGTCCACAGGACCAATAGTCAAGCTGGTCCAACCAGTCTATTGGACCAACAGACCAGTTGGTCCAACCGGTTCATTGGACCAACATGCCCGCTTGTCCAAGGGTCCAATGGACCAACAGGTGAGTTGGTCCAACCGTTCCACTAGACCAATAGGCCAGTTGTTCCAACCCTTCCATTAAACCAACATGGGAGTTGATCCAAAGGGTCCACAGGACCAACAGGCTTGTTGGTCCAACCGGTCCACTGGACCAACAGGTGAGTAGGTCCAACCGGTCCACAAGATTAATAGGCGTGTTGGTCCAACTGTTCCACAGGACCAACACGCCAGTTGGTCCATCAGGTCCACTAGACCAACAGGTGAGTTTGTCCAACCGGTCCACTAGACCAACAGGCCAGTTGGTCCAACCGGTCCACTGGACCAACATGCAGTTGGTCCAACTGGTCCATTGTTCCAACATGCTTGTTGGTCCAACCGGTCCATTAAACCAACACGCCAACTGGTCTAACTGGTCCAATGGACCAACAGGCTAGTTGGTCCAACCAGTCCACTAGACCAATAGTCTAGTTGGTCCAGCCGGTACATTGGACCAACAGGCCTGTTTATCCAACCGCTCCATTGGAAGAACCGTTGGTCCAACCGGTCTATGGACCAACAGGCTAGTTGGTCCAACCGGTCCATGGGACCAACAGGCTAGTTGGTTCAACAGGTCCATTGGACCAACAGTTGAGTTAGTCCAACCAGACCACTAGATCAACAAGCCAATTGGTCCAACCGCTCCACAGGACCAACAGGCTCGTTTGTCCAACCGGTCCACTAGACCAACAGGTGAGTTGGTCCAACAAGTCCATTGGATCAACAGGCTAGTTGGTCCAACTGGTCCATTGGACCAAAAGGCCTGTTGATCCAACTGGTTTTTTGGACCAACAGGCCACTTGGTCCAACCAGTTGTCAGGATGAACAAGCCAATTCGTCCAACCTGTCCATTGGACCAATAGGTGAGTTGGTTCAACCAGTCCATCGGACCACATGTGTGTTGGTCCTACCGGTCCATTGGACCAACAGGCCAGTTGTCCAACCGGTCCACTGGACCAACATTCTTCTTGGTCCAACCGATCCACTAGACCAACAAGACAGTTGGTCACTACTCTTGAAAAGCATGGTGAATTATGAAAGTAGCTCTGATACCATGTGTTATGAGTTGTTCAAGAGAGTGCTCGGAATAACAAATACTGAGAGTGGGACTCAATGGACTAAAGATACAATGAAGGCACGTGCTGATACACTGACTACCCTAGCTATGAGTGAACCTCGAAAACGATGTTGGGTGCAAGTTTCGTGAACGGAAAACCGTAGGCGGCGCGGGGGTGCCTCGGCATCGTGGATGCCGGCCGAACGTGCGAAGTCCGAAATGTCAGGGTTGTACGTGTAGTAGTCATCCTCGGTAAGGAAAGGGAAAGTTCCTTAGAGGACTTGTGTGAAAGGAATTATGAATCGCATTCTCGTCATTTAAATATCAATAACATCTGATAAGTGTTAAACCCTAATTTGTGGATTTGTGTGCCGAACTCATTTCTAAGGATCCACTCCTCAAGCATGAAAAATCCATCGATGGCGGTTCCTAGTAAATATCTTTGAAATCGTACCGGATTTTCCGTTCGCGCCATTGTCGCGTTGGGAGAATCGTTGACAGTGTCTTCGTCACCTTCAACTCAATCCACTATAAGTCCTATGATCAGCCCCAACTATCCTTCAATGGCCACAAACAGACATTATTTTCAAGTTGCAGCTACAGCAACGACCCGTCCTCGTGCCCCATATCGCCAACTGCTACTACGTTGCGGCACTTTCAGTCTCGAGTACGTAAGATCTGATCATCATTCTCCCACCGCGCTCTCCCCCTTGCTCGGTGCGCAGCTCCTGCCAGAGCTTCTGCGAATGCTGCTCCGCACCCTCTCCTCATGCAGAGACGGCGTCTAGCTGCTGCGCTAGTGACGCAGACTTCTTCCCCACAAGGGTGATCTTGCTGTGGCCACTGCAGAACGTACTCTGAAGACGATTCTCACCTTTGGCCACTTGATCGATCATGTGCTGCAAAAACTCTAATCGACGGAGAAGCATTGGGGACCCATTGTTGGATGCACGTCATTCTGATTGCATGTCATCCTAACGTCCTGCCGAGTGCTCGTGCTATTTGTGCTTGCATGATTTGCATGAGCATATGTCATTGTGCATGGCTGTTGGATTTTATCATCTCTGTATTTTTCTGATCATGCAGGAGAAATCCAGAGCTTTCCAACGATACCAAGATCGCCTTATTCCGACCAAGATCGCCCAAGTTACAAGATTTCCAAGACTTGGATTTCTTATTACCTTTTGGGGTTATATCTAATTTGGGTGATTACTTGGGACATGACTATAAAGGGATCTTTGGTTGGGTGGTTAGGGAAGGCAACTTTGACTTTTGGATTGGGGTGGCTAGAAGTTTCTAGCATGGGTTGCAAATGTTGCAACACCTAGGCAAAATCCAACTAGATTGGATTTTGCATGTGACACCTCAAGGACCTCATGATGAGGGTTGCATCCTTGCTGCTAGGAAGGTTCCTACCATCCTTCCCTCGCTCTTGGAGAACCCCTTCCCTCTCATGGTTCTCTTGGAGGTTCCCAACTCCAACTCTCTATCCTCTAATGCTTGTACTTCCTCCACCATTCTAGTCATGCGGCTGCTGAACGTTTTCACTTGGTTCTCACTCTCCAGACCATCTTAACGACTGATGTAACTTTGAGATGGTACCTAAGCCTAAGGCGCAACTTCCTACTGAGCGGATTTGCGTTTCAATGAGAAATGAGTTCGTCGTAAGTTCTCAAAGTGACGGATCCTGAACAACAAGTGGTATCAGAGCGGGTAGTCGACTTTGAGGCGACGAGTCGTCGTGAATTTTCAAGCAATGTTGTCAAGTGTGACCATTTTCTAGTAGCTGTACTCGCGAACTTTAGATTGGTGGTCAAACCGCGTTCTTATTCAAAGTATCCAGTCCGCGACGGCGATTTTTGTAGAATCGAAATTTTCTGGCAGAATTCTCTCCAAACGATTTCTCAAGTTTCCACCGTTCATAAGGCCTCAATATGGTTGGTACGAACTCCGGAGGTGCTAGTGGTGAGATGGATAGAAGTAGAGAGGCTGGAGAGCAGGGGGGAGTTGCTGGTGGAGGAATGGGGACTCACCAACCAGCCAACCCTACGCTACCTACTTCTTCTACACCATCTCCTACTACCGTGGATCCTGTGAAAGCTTTCTCTATTGAGAAATTCATGGGGGGGGGGACTACGAGCACTGGAGCTTCCGCATGAGGCTGATGTACACCCAATACAAGCTATTGGATCTGGTGGAGGGGAAGGAGAAAATGCCGGAGGCCACGGAGCTGAAATGAGCATGGATGAAGCGCTCGTTCGACGCGTACATGCTCATGGTGCAAGCGGTTGGCGGGCGACAACTTGACCACATCAAGGACCTCTTGGGTGATCCAGAGTGTGGGCCCAAGGCTTGGAGGATGTTTCTGGATGTGCACTCACCGACACATGCTACCGGCATCGTGCTACTCGCGCGGCGGCTGCGCGACATCAAGTTCGTTGATGGAGAGCCGATGCAACCGGTGTTGGATGAGATGCGGGACATCTTTACGAAGCTCCAAGGCGGCGGTGTGGTGTACACGGAGCTCGTACAATGCGTCGAGATCTTGACGGCTGCCGGAGTTGTGGTCTGCCCTAGCGATCAACCTCAACTCCCAACAACCCCAATGGAGCGTGGATTACATTCGCGCGCGCATCCTAGAGGAGGACTTGCCGCGGCAGAGTGTGGAGCGCTCGGAGGAGGGGGCTGGCTATGGAGTTGGAGGTGGAAAGAGTGGCTTCAAGAAGAAGTGGAAGGGCAAAAACAAGGACAACCCTAAGGAGGATGGCGGCGGGGGTCAAGGGGAGGTGTGCTTCTACTGCAAGAAGCGCGGACATCGTTGGCGGAAGTGCTACCAACGACCCAAGGATTGGACCCTGCCTTCATCGAGCAACCTGCATGGTGGCAAGAGGAGTGGGGGAGTCATGGGAGCTAGTGGAGAGGAGAAGGAGGAGGAGAAAGGCGGCAAATCTGAGGAGCGGAAGGCTGGGTTCTTCTTCTTCGTGAACGAAGGCGCAACCGACCTCGCTATGGCTGCCAAGGTTCTCCTACACCCCCTCACCCATTGGGTGATTGACCCCGGGAGCTCTTGGCACATGACTCCTCGTGCGGACCTACTCGATGAGATTCAGCCCGCAACCATCTCTACATTCACGTCCACGACGGACGCCAAGGCCAAGGTCATGGGCATGGGGTGCGCCATGGTGAGGAAGCTGGAAGTTGCTGCTGTGTGGGCTTCTATCTGGGGATGGCTCCTGACTCGAAGGGGTGGCTGATGTGGGACCCCAAGAGCAAGAGGACGCTGGTGAGTCGTGACGTCAAGTTTGTGGAGGACGTCATGTACAAGGATTGGCAGCAGCAGCTGCAGGTGCAGATTGGCTTGCGTCTACAGGAGTTTGAGCAGTCTGCAGTGGAGGAGGTACAGCTGCACCTTGATGAACTCCATGGGTCAGAGCTGACCAGTGACCACAGTGGCGGTGGTGAGCAGCAAGTTTCTGGTCTTGCTGGAGAGGAGGGGTTGGAGGATGAGTCGGCACGTGTGGACTCACCAACTCAGCCCGAGCCTGCTGCAAACGCGAAGGTCACCAAGAGGAGTGTGCAGAGAGGAGCTTCACCACATGGGCAGCAGACTGCAACCCGCGAGAAGAGAGTGGCAGCAGCACCCTGAAGGCTGAAGTATAGCCGTTTGGGAGGACCCAAGCAAGGTGCCATGGCGGTTCAGGCGGATGAGGGAGATGATGAAGAGATGGCGTTCTATTTGTTCACACCTCTGCCTGGAGAACCAGCCACATTGGAGGAGGCACTGAGTGGACCCCAGAAGGAGGAGTGGAAGGCTGCCAGGGATGCGGAGTTCAACAGTCTCATTGAGAACGGGACTTGGGAGCTTGTTGAGTTACCTGAGGGGCAACGGCCGATCAGCAGCAAGTGGGTCTTCAAGGTGAAGAGTGGTGCTGATGGTGCGTTGGAGCGGTTCAAGAGCCGTTTGGTCGCCAAGGGGTTTCAGTAGAAAGAGAAGGTCGACTTTGGGGAGATCTTTGCTCCCATTGCTAAGCCAGTGACACTGAGGACTTTGATGGCTGGCGCAGTTGTGAAGGGATAGCACGTGAAGCGGATTGATATCTCCACTGCGTTCCTCAATGGAGTGCTGCTGGAGGATATCTACATGGCGCAGCCCGACGGCTATGAGGATGGGACCAGCCGGGTGTGCAAGCTTAAGAAGGCCATCTATGGCCTTAAGCAAGCGCCCAGGTGTTGGTACGAGAAGCTGAAGGAGGTGCTGCTGGGTGAAGGCTTTGTTCTCACCTTCCATGGAGCAGATTGAGAGGACACAGAAGCTGCTGATGGACAACTTCAAGTGCAAGATGCTAGGGGATGTCCACTATTACTTGGGGCTGCAGATTGAGGGGGATGTTGAGAGAAGGTGGCTCAAGGTGCATCAGTCACACTACATCTCTAGTGTCATGGAGCGGTATGGTGTGACTGGGGGTCGCATTGTGATGACACCGTTCCTTGAGGGCTTCAAACTAAAGAAGGCAGCTGAGGAGGATGATGTACTCGAGGATGAGCTGCAGAACGAGTACCAGTCACTTATTGGGAGTGTGATGTATGCTGCAGTGCATACACGACCTGATGCTTCATTCGGAGTGGGGCAGCTGGCCAGAGTTGTGCAGCGGCCCACTGAGGAGCAGTTAGAGGTGGCAAAGCGCTTGGTGCGCTACCTCGGATCAACGGCATCTGCTGGTGTTTAGTTTTCAGCTCGCGGCCAGCTGAAACAGATTGGAGCAGATGGGGTCACGCCTGGAACCTTGAAGCTGTCATGCTTCACCGACGCTACGTGGGCCTCAGAGGATGAGGATCAGTCATCAGTTGGCGGCTTTGTGTACATGGTCAGAGGTGGACCAGTGAGCTGGAGGTCCAAGAAGCAGAGTGAGATTGCTCAGTCTTCCGGAGAGGCAGAGTACATGGCGATGTACCATGCCATCAAGGAGATTGTGCTCCTGAGGAAGCTGCTGGAGGACATGGGAGCTGAACAGGAGGGACCTACACCACTTTTCTCCGACAGCGAGGCTGCTATTGGCATGGCCAATAATCCTATCCTGAATGGGCTGAACAAGCACATGAAGATTAAGTGGCACTGGGTGAGGCAGATGGTGAAGGAGGGGATTGTTGAGCTTCACCATGTGAAGACTACCGAGCAAGCGGCAGATTTTCTCACCAAGACACTTCCCAAGAGCGCACATTGGAAGTGTGCTAAAATGTGTGGCATGGCATTGCACTAGTATGGGTGGCAGTGTCATGAATGCATGTGTGATTATGTGCATGAGAGTCTGCATGTGTGTGAGTGTGTGTACATGCAGTCCGTTAGTCTGAGGGGGAGTTTGTTGGATGCACATCATTCTGAGTGCATGTCATCCTAACGTCCTGCCAAGTGCTCGTGCTATTTGTTCTTGCATGATTTGCATGCGCATATGTCATTGTGCATGGCTGTTGGATATTATCATCTCTGTGTTTTTCTCCAAGTATAATTGCTTGATCATGCAGGAGAAATCCAGAGCTTTCCAACGATACCAAGATCGCCTTATTCCGACCAATATCGCCCAACTTACAAGATTTCCAAGACTTGGATTTCTTATTACCTTTTGGGGTTATATCTAATTTGGGTGATTACTTGGGACATGACTATTAAGGGATATTTTGTTGGGTGGTTAGGGAAGGCAACTTTGACTTTTGGATTGGGGTGGCTAGAAGTTTCTAGCATGGGTTGCAAATGTTGCAACACCTAGGCGAAATCCAACTAGATTGGATTTTGCATGTGACACCTCAAGGACCTCATGATGAGGGTTGCATCCTTGCTGCTAGGAAGGTTCCTACCATCCTTCCCTCGCTCTTGGAGAACCCCTTCCCTCTCATGGTTCTCTTGGAGGTTCCCAACTCGGACTCTCTATCCTCTAATGCTTGTACTTCCTCCACCATTCTAGTCATGCGGCTGCTGAACGTTTTCACTTGGTTCTCACTCTCTTGACCATCTTAACAACTGATTTAACTTGGAGATGGTAGCTAAGCCTAAGGCGCAACTTCCTACCGAGCGGATTTGCGTATAGTTGAGAAATGAGTTCGTCGTAAGTTCTCAAAGTGACGGATCCTGAACAACACCCATGCGATGTGGGTGCATATGAAGTCATTAAGGGCGGTCATCGGGAACTTCCTAAGCATCCAAGGGGTTCTGGCAAGCGCCCCTTACTCGACCCAACCCGACCTGTCCCGGACCTGTGACCATGTCCATGCCTACTGAGGCTAACCTTAGCAAGGGAGACTGCAGCAACCTCCTGAGGTGTTGTAGGGGAATGAGCGAGCGCGCCTTGGCCTGGCATAATAGGTCCCCGTACTGATGGGGTCAGGCAATGTGCGCGCCACTGCCACAGAACCTTTCACGAATGAGGGAGTCAAGGCATGTGAGGAATTCGTACGTCTCATCGTCATTAGCAACGAAGTTAACGGTGGGCAGGTGGCATGCAAGGCTTGCACACGTTGGTGTCGACACCATCAAGAGCTCAGCAAAGCACGAAGTCGCTACCGGCCTTGACATCATGCCGTCAATGGGGACCGGCTTGCCGTGCGTCTCCTGCGTAGGTGGAAAACTTGCGCGGCACACCTTCTCCGACAAGGGATCTGATGCGGATGAAGCCCTGGCGGTCGTACACAGCGACCTGTGCGGGCCGTTACGGGTGACCGCCAAGGATGGCAGCTACTATTCGCTTCTCCTCAAGGACCAAAAGACGCGCTACGTGTGGATGAGGCCCGTCGCCAAGAAGAGTGACATTCTGCACGTGTTCGAGCAGTAAATGCTGGTTGTAAAGAGGCAAACCAAGAAGTCGGTGATGATGCTCTGCTTTGACCGTGAAGGCGAGTTCCTGGGGAAGGCCTTCACCAACTTCGTCAACGGCAAAGGGATCGTCCACGATCTGACCTGCCCATACACTCCGCACTAGAACTTCATGGCGGAGAGGGAGATGAGCACAGACGATGCTGCTTCACATGGGCGTGCAGCACCATTGGTGGCATCTCGCCCTGCGCGAGGCTGTTTGGGTGTGCAAATGCTTGGAGCGGTCGTCGCTACTACTGGGGACGGCCCCACACCAGATGCTAACGGGCAAGAAGCCCGACCTCACACTGGCGCAGGTGTGTGGCTGCATGGTGCAGTTCATGGTCCCCGAGCAACTGCGCGGTGGGAAGCTAGCGCCGAAGGCTCATTGGGGTCTACACCTGTGAAGATATGAAAATATATGAATTGATATAAGAAGAAAGTTATAGGAAATGTTAATTCTAACCCAAGCATGAGTCAGCAATATCAAGGGTCACGAGACCAGTCCAAAGAACAAGGCAAATCTCAAGGTGGAGCTCATCACCACACATTCTGAGAGCTAGGAATGGGCTACAAAGCCAGTCCACATGCAATTATATAGCAGATATAGGAGATGCAAGAGTACAAGACAAACAAGACAAGCATCTCTACTTAAGCAAGGGGCCACAAGGCCAATCTACAAGCACATATATTGCAAATATAAGGAGATGCAAGAGTACAAGACAAAGCATCTCTACACAAGTAGGTGATGGCCTATAGAGACAAGGCCCTGCTGGGTGCTGAAATGTTGGTGGTCACAAGGCGGCAACGTCTTGGTTAAAATATCTGCCGTGTTAGCCTCAGATACCACACGTCTCACACGGGCCTGGCCACACTGCTGCAACTCGCATAGAAGGAAGTAATGAAGCAGGATGTGCTTCGCCTTCCCAACAAGTGTGGGCTTCTCGCACAACAAGATAGCAGACCTGTTGTCAGCAAACAAGACTAGGGGAGAGCGACGCCGCTCACCAAGGTCGGTGACGAGGAAAGACAGCCAACGAAGCCCTGGGCGGCCATGGCTGCAACGTACACCTGCGTGTGATAGCTGGAGTCGGAGACTGACGACGCTCGAGTCGACCTCCACGAGACAGCTCCGGTCCCTAGACGGAAGCAGTAACCCTGATTAGACCGCATCGACTCAGCGTCGTTAGCCCACGACGCGTTCAAGAGACATGTGAGTATAACTGGTTGCTTCCCTTTAAGGACAAGTCCCATGCCTGATGTATTCGCAACATACTTTGCCACCTTCTTAGAAGCATACCAGTAAGACGTTCGGTGTCTCTCAGGTTCAACAATGCGTGCAAGGACTCTAAGAGGGTAAGCTAGGTCTGGGCGAGTACAGGTTATCAGGTATATGAGACAACCCACCAGCTCAAGATATGGACCACTGGACTCAAATGACTCATCCGAAGGTGGAGCTGTGAGCTCATGATCGACAGCAAGAGGGGTGAGCTGTACCTTGGAGAATGGGAAGCAAAAGCGCGAAAGGATCTGCTCGACCATATGCGATTGCATCAGTGTAACAGCGCGAGCTGCCCTGTCCCTGGTAATCTGCAAGCCAAGTAGCGCTGCAGCTCACCAAAGTTAGTGCAAGTGTGTCTCCTCTGCAGTTCCTCCTTCATGGAGGCCAGCGCATGTCTGTCAGGAGTGGCAAAGACGAGGTCGTCAACGTACACCACAATTAAGAACATGGTCAAGCCACAAAGACGAAGAGCAACGGGTCAGCAGACGACGGAAAGAAGTCAAGTGCTGCAGGAGTCGTGCGA